ACTCTCTGTCCGTCACGGGGTAGCCCACGTCTGCAACGTTAACGACTCCGCGCCTCTGACGGCTGTAGCGCAGACTCTTTCAATCATCATTAGCAGTGGGGAAGGCCTCAGCCCTGGGCGCAGGGCCAGGTGAGTAAAACTTTCCATGAGGGAAGCTTTTTGTTCTCTCTGGAGCAGACTGAGCTCAGGAAGGGGCGGGAGAGGGAGCTGCTCACCCCCAGACTCGGGGCAGACATGCTCCGGGCCGCCGCGTCTACCTGCGTGTTGTTTTAATGACATCTAGACTTTGGAGACCAGGAGCTCGTGAGGAAAGTGAAAGGCTTGATTGTGTCCATGGCCAGCCCAGTGCCGAGGGGCAGTCACCGCCCTGCAGGGCTCTCGGGAGATGCTGCCCGACAGCAGGGCGGCCAGTAGGCACGGCGCGCGTGGGCACCAGGGCAGATGCCACACACCTCACAGACGTTTCAGAAAACATGTCCTGCAAGGTGCGCACACGTGTGCACATAAGTGTGTATGTGTGTATGAAAGCATGTGTGCATCTGTATGCACACATGTGTGCGTGTGTGTGCATGAGCTGCCCACTCATATGACCGAGAGGATCTGGAACTAGAGGAGAACGTCACCTAGTTTGGTTCCCGCAGTGGGCAATCAAAGAAATAAAATACTCTTAAAACAGTTCAGCTTTACAGCTGAACTTATACAACTTTACAGCATGTTTTTAAAAATCTACATTTAAAATAACATGAGGTCCAGGAAAATAGTATTTCTAAAAATGTCCCTTTGTGGTTCTGCTGTGCTTGAGAAGTCTAAACCCAAAGCTAAATCTTACGAAGACTACTGAAGGAAATTAATGTGTGGGCCAAGTACTTTTGAAATTAACTTAAGAGTAGAAATAACTGAAAAACAAAGAAATCCAAAAAAGAAAAAAACCTAGGATTCAGTTTTCATTTTGAGGCTTGAATTCTGTGAGAGAAACAGAAACTTGGGGAGCACCTCCCCTTTCGGCTCATTCACTGGACTGAGCACGGGTCCACAGGACACGCCCTTCCACACAGACCACCCTGCGGACCCGTGATGGGCGCATACTGGAGATGGGCACACCACACGCTCTCCGCACCGCACACGACATTGCACTACTGCCTTTTCCACTCTGCGTCCCCGGAAAACAAAATAGAAACCCAATTACAAGAAATGAAAAACCTGCGCACACACGATAGACTCTTCTAACCCTCTGGGCCTGGCAGTCGCGGGCACCGCAGTGAGCAAGAGAAGCCCAGGTCGCTGCTTCCACGCGCTGTTCAGACCAAGGAGCCGAAATCCTGAACCGACTGCGGGGACGTTGCTGAGGGCCGCGGGGTCAGGCCAGGCCCAGTCCCTGTGGCGGCGGCCTCAGTGGCGCGATGTGCTTGGGTGGCGGGGACCCTGAGCCTGTCCTGCGCCCTGGAGGTGACCCTGCCATCACCTTCACTGCCTGGACCCTAGGAGGCTGGAGACTGAACCTGCACCATGCCGGTCTCGGGCCTGGGAGGCACAGACCCTGGGGCTCTGGCCACCAGCAACGTGTGGGGTGCAGGACTGCACGGGGAGCCCCCCACTTACAAACAGCGTCGAGGGGTGTCCACAGCCACACACCATACCCTCCCTCTGCGTCCGGCACTGAGCCTCTCCCTGCTGTGAACGCACAACACCAAGTGTCTCTTTTCACCCACCAAGGAGCCTGAAGTTTATGCAGTTTCATTTGCTTTAGTCTTCGCTGCTGTTTCCATTTCCCCAGGTGCCTGGGCGAGCTCTCCTCCCTCCAGACGGGGCCTGTTCCCACACAGGACACCGGCCCGGGGGATGGCAGAGGCTATAGGGCCTCCTGTTGCCCTAAAGATGGGGAACTGGTCAGGATGGTGCTAAGGCAGCCCCAGTGCAGTTCGCTTTGCTGACAGAGGAGCCGTGCAGTGAGTGGGGCAGGGGAGACGGGAGAAGCCGCGTTGAGAAGTGGGGATGGCTGGGTGCCGCCCTTCACAAGGTTTTTCCGTGATCACATTCCAGGACATTCTCCATGTGCAGGGACAGGCAGAGCCCTGGGGCGCCCCATCTGCTCCCCTAGCAGGGGGGTCCCTGTGCAGACTGAGATGCTGGCCCTGGACACACCAAGGGTTACCAGCGTCCTCCAGAACCTCCTTCCGGGGCGAGCGGGAACTCTGGTGGTGTCCCCAAACCAGGGGGGACTTTGGAAAAGGGGCTGGCGAAGGGCCGGACTCCTGGGCAAACACACTCTAAGCTACGGCCTACTCCTGCCGTGAGTCCCCACCTCGCTGTCCCCACCACAAAGGTGCCAGCACGGATCCCACATGCCCTCTGGGTAGGGTCCCACCTTTTCCAGGCAGGATATCCTGCCTAGGTCCCCACCCCATGGGCGCCACAGCCTGTGTCCTGCTCTGAGGACCTGGGGCAGCAGGGGTGGCCAGCAGACCCTCCATGGCCCTGGCTGTGTCTGCTTTTCATGAGGATGACATTCGGGGGCGGGGCACAATAGCCATCCCACAGCTGGGGTGAAGGCAGAGCAAGCATTCGGGGTGGTCCTGCCTGGGATGGGGACAGAGGCCTGGGTGTGTCTGCACCCAACTGCCCAAGAGGGACGCCCGCCAGCCGGCACACGCTCCACACTCCCTGGGCAGGGGGTCCAGCCTGCAGTGCAGGGAGTCCCCGGTCTGTCCAGAGCCCTTGGAGGGAGGCCTGGCTTGCGAGACAGCCCCGTCTCCCTCCCTCTGGGTCGAGGCCTCTGCACATGCAGCTGCGCACCTGACCACCCACCTCTGAAGGGCAGAAAGGGCCCTTTGCCCACTGTGGGCAGGAGATTAGGGCCACATCTGGACAGGGCCACAGCTAACAAGACTCTTCTCTGCTCAGGGCTTAAGTGTGTGTGGTTAAGTGAGCACCACCAGGACCCGCCTGTGCAGGCTGCGCAGAGACAGCGGTGGCCCGTCAGCACGCTCCCTGCTCTGCAGGGCCTCCAAGTAGCTGCCCTGGTCCCCCAGAGGCAGCGCTTTGATCTCATGGCTGACGCTGGAAAGGTTTTGGTTACAGCCGGTCCAGAGTTTGCAGACTTAATGGGGACAGGTTTCTAAGTTGCCCCTACAACGGGGACAAAGTCTCACGAGTGCGGGGCTGGCCCTCAGGACCAGCCTTGTGTCCCTTGAGGACGTACATGGACATGAGACTTCCTGTCCTGGGGGTGGGCGGTGGGGAGGCTGCAGCCGGATGCCAAGCTGCCTCTTCTCTGGCAGTGCAGAACCACCAGGGCTTGGGGACGGGATGCAACTCTGCAGCATTTTCCCGAGTGGGAAGATGACCACAGCCAGAGAGCCAAGGAGAAGGTTTGGGGAGGAAGGACAGGTCCGGCCAGGAAGTGGCCCCAGCACAGTGAGAGGTTGGGAGTGCGCCCAGGGCTGCTCGCAGGCATCTGGAGAGCAGGACCCCCAGATGTGGGGCCAGGGGCCTTCGTGAAGGGGCTGGGCGAGAGCCTCGGCCTCCAGGGTGCCACAGTGGCCAGGCCAGCAGGCTGGGGGGGCCCTGAGGGGGACGCGGAGCTGGGTGTCCTGGACAGACGCTCCAGCCTCAGCTCACCTGTGCCCACCCTGGGGTACACGGAGCAGTGTGAGGACCCTGAGCCACTGGTCTGTCTCCCCCACGTCCACACATGCTGGGCAGGCAGCCCGGATGGTCTCACACTTGTGCTGTTTGGACGGGCACCTGGCCTGCGTCTCAGCGACACGTGATGACAGTCAGCCCTGGGCACAGAAGTCACAAGGCCCAGCTTACTCAGCACAACCTTGGTACTGAGCTCTCACCACAGGCCAGGGCACTGGGCTTGAGGCCAGATACTTTGGGGGCTAAATTACTTGCATACATCTTCCTCAGAAAGTGGTGGCCTCGAGTTAGGGGACAGCAAGGATGTGTCTGGCAGGCCCCGTCCCCTCCTGAGTGGACGGGAGGCCCTTACGCTGATGCAGGGCCATCCGCAAGCTCAACAGGGCGCTCCCCAGGCTGCCATGTCACAGCGAGTGACGCGGGGACCGGCGCAGAGTATGTGTGGCAGCCACCTCTGGACACTCTTCCCAAGGGACCCCCTGAAACTAAAGGCCCGCTTGGAACACGAGGATGGCTCAACATTTATGGAGACCACTGTGGTGGCAGAAGAGCCAACGGCACGATGCTGTCACTCTAAGGGAGGCATGGAGTCTGGCTGGTGGGAGGCGCCAGGGAAAACCGTCTGTGCCCGGCGGACGCCCACCTTCCCTGCAAACAGCCCGCACAGGGCGGGGACTCTTGCTGAATCGCCACCTGATGAGGTCGCCAGGGCTTGGTCACACCTCTGGGCACCACGGCAATCCTGTGGCTAGGCAGCCAGGACTGCGTCCAGAGTGGGCGCGACTCACACGCAGACACATGCGGACGGGTGCCCCATTACCGCTCACAGGATGGCGGCAGCGCTGGGAGTCGCCTAGTCTGAACGGCCTGTCCATGATGTCCAAAAGCCCACCCTTTCCAACAGCCCTGAGCAAGCAACATCCGTGGCCTCTGCACTGACAAGGCCGCTGCACCTGGGCTGGCATCGCAGCCAGCGGCCCCCGTGGCCGTTCCCCAAAACCGTTCCCCAGACTCAAGAGGCTCTTACGTGCCATGAGCCAAGGACCTGGCTCGGCTGGTGCCTGAGGACACAGGACTTTTTGAGCTCGAGCCAAGGAGCTCTCTGTCCAGCATTGGGCAGCAAACCTTGGCACCCATGTCTGAGTCTAAGACTACCTGGACAGGTTTCACGGAACGTCAGAGCCGAAAGACCAGCCCTTGCTGTGACCAGAGCTGCACGCAACTGGCGACGCCACTGCCCCACACAGGTGCTGCCACAATACCCCAAGAACCGTGTCCTGCACCCACGTCATGCCGGCTCCCGCGGTTGGCACGTCCGCACGTCTCTCCTCCAAGAGCTCTGGGCGGCGGGCACTTACCATCATCCAGGTACAACTGGTCCAACTCCTCGGGTTCTCGCTTGACCGTTACAGGAATAAGGGCCAAGTTACGACCACTGTCCTCACGCACCTCTGGTAGGGACGGTGGCCGGGCGGATGGAGAAGCGTTCCTTTGAGCCTTCAGTGGTGGGTGCTGCAGGCGGCCCATCGCGGGCAGGTGTGGCGGGCTGCAGGGCTGCAAGCAGGTTGGCTCCTGGGTGGCGGGCGGAGGCGGGGAAGGGGGGCTGTCGGGACAGAGCATGTGCCCAAGGGGGCAGCTGCTGCTCGGATGTGGACTCACCTGCGGCGGCAGCATGGTGGGAGGTGGCTGCTCGGGCGCGCCTGGGTGCAGGGCCGTAGGTCTTGGCACGTCCTGAACGGCGGGGACCTCTCCGGCCGGCTGCCCAAGTCCCAGGTGACAGTGGGTGGGGCTGGCGATACCCTTGGTGTAGGCAGCGGAAGAAAGGTCGTGGAGCTTCGGGCTCGAGCTGTGAGGCGTGGGCATCATGGTGCTTCTCTGTGGGCAGAGTGGGAACCCAGCCAAGAGGCAGGAGCCGGGGTCTGATGGCGCTGCAAGCTGCTGGCCATAGTAGGTTCGCTGGAGGGGACTTAACCCCTGGCTCGCTGGTCCGCAGGCGGCAGCGGGCTCGTAATCGTCAGATGGCTCTGTTTTTATAACGGGAACTGCGTGGAGAGAGAAAAAGTTAAATAAACATGGTTGCAGATGGTCGACCGGCCGGGCTGTGTCTGGGACGCCCTTTGCAAGACAAACAGCGTCTCGCCTGAGCCCGCGTGAGCCTGGTTCTCCCACCCAGTGAAAGACCAGGGTGAGTCACGGGCTCCGGAAAGCTGCAGCTGGTTCTAATACTGCGGGGCCTGTTTTCCTTGGACTCTGCTCCAGGACTGACATGCTGTAAAAGCCCGTTCGCAACTGCAGGGAAGTCTGGACCCAGGGGCCTGCGGATTTGTAGTAATCAAAGCGAAAATTGTAGCTTGGGCGTACTACTGCATTTCTGCTACCGACACTCTGTTTATGATAATGTCCGCGCATTGGGTGAACTTGAACACAGAAAATGGCTCTTGGAAGCCAGTGAAACCCAGCTGAGAAGATGAGTGACTGTTGCCACAGAAGAGAGGCCGTTAGTGGTTACAGAAGCATAGGTCTGCGTGGGCCAGCACTCGCACCCGCCTGCCCCTCTGTCTCCCTCCTAGACGGGCAGCCCGTGCAGAGCTGCCAGGCCCCCGGCAGCCTCAGGCAGAACTTAGGAGCTGTCCGCTGTTTCTAGACCTTTCTCTGGTCCCTCCCTCGAGAGAAAGCTGAGGGCCCAGGAGGAGCCTGGGACGGATGCTTACTATGTGGCTGGCACTGGCCCCTCCTCACGTTCCACCAGACCCTGCCTGCCTCTGGGCCTCAGTTTCCATAGCAGTGTCAGGAAGACACAGGCCTCGGTACCTGCCAGGGCAGGGGGCCCTCCGGGGACCCCACAGACATCCTGCCCCACTCACTGCCAGGCTGTCGTCTTGGCTTGTACGCCGCAGAGAAGAGACGTCTAGATGGTTAAGTCACGCAGAGAGCAACGCGCAATGGCTCTTAAATTCACAACAGACGCACGGGCTTCCTTCGACCACGCGGCGAGGACGACCAGCTGTCATCAGACGCCCCAACCACATTTGCACCTCTCCACGCGCTGCACGCAGGTGGGCTCTGGCAGCCAGAGGAGGAAGAGTGCCCCCGTCACAGCGCTGGGGCCTGCATGTGGCGCCAGCACAAATGCACGTCTGTGCGCCTGGTCCCCGTCACAGCCCAGGGTGCCTAAGCGCCCGACAGCTGTGATGCAGAGACAGATTTTCCTGAGGTTCGGCCCCGGGGGAGAGCCTGCGCCTGGCATGGACGTCCTGGCCCGGAGGCCGAGTAAGCTGGGACAGGTCATCTGCTTGCCAGCGAAGGCTCCTCACCTGAGACTCGGGTGTCACTGGGGACTGGACCAGATAGGCCCATCCCAGTTGGAAAATCTGCCCAGACTCTCCCTGCAGGGACAGGTGCTCGGGCTTCTGAGGGACTGCTCTATTTCCATGCCGGTATCTCTGCCCTGTTCTTGTTTGCTCACTCACACTGCCACGCACCCTCCTGCACGCTGAGCGCCAGGTCACCAGCATGCTGTCCTCAGGGGCAGGGAATCACAGGGCCACCGTGTGTGCCTCTCGGGAAGCTCCTTCTCCCCACCCAGGGCGTGGCCACACTGGGCCGTGCTTAGCCACGCCGAGGGTCCCTCCCGGCGTCCTGCTCTCCACCCGTGGGCAGACGTCCCCCACCCATGGCCAGGACAGGTCCGGCAATAGCCTGATGAGCACTGCTAGAGGCCACTGAGCATGAGGGAATTGCAGATATGTGGCCAGTCTGTGTTCTCGGCACGTTGACTGCCAGTGCACTGCGGCCGTCCCGGATTGGACACCTAGTCACCCGCCAGAACGGACCTGTCCCTCGTGCCTGCCAGGGCTTAGGAAGACAGAATAGGATAGCTCAGGAATTATACCCCAAAACACTGCCCACAAGACACCATGGACCACTGGCCACCCAGGGTGATATGACAATTCTGCCATCACCCCGTGATACCAGGCAGGTACCATCTGGAGGAGCCGGCACTGAAGGTATCTCTGGGTGGAGCTGCAGGGCAGAGACGATGGCTGGCGAGAGTGCTGTGGCTTGGGAAGAGAAACCCCATGGCTCACACTCTCCCGGGGGCTACCCAGCCAGTGAAGGAGGGAGGGGGGCCCTAGAGCCGGCCGGGCTGCAAGTGGAGACTGCTCGGGGCTCACTCGGATACAGCCCTGAGGCTGACTTGTGCCCACCGGGGCGTCCATCCACCTTGAAGTCTGGATGTTGTGCCTTGTCCCCTAGCCCAGAGCAGTTCCTGCGGTGAGGACTCCATGGGCGGCTGCAGCCTCTGCCCCACGCCTCCCTCTGAAGCCCGTCTGCTGTGCGGCACTGGCCATCCACTCGTCTCTGTGGCCCAGGGACGCAAGACATGGGAATACGCGGCACTGGCTGCCTACACGGCGCCCAGGTTGAGTGGGGGCTGCTAAGAAGAGACGTGTCCTCTGGTTATTAGAAACAGGTCTGCAACCCACAAGCTTCACGTCAGAAAGTCAAGCATCCCAGTCGGCTGTTGGCTCCGGCAGCTCCCCCGCCCCTGCAGGAGGCTGAGGGCAGGAGAGCCTGGCGTGTGGAGACACACAGGGCCCTGGGGGCTCACCTGCTCCCCCACAGCCCCACCCAGACAGACTGTGGAGGACCTGAGCCCCCGGCTTGATGGAGTCCATTTCCGGCAGGCTGTAAATCCAGAGCCCGCCAGGCAGAGCCAGAGCCTGACCCCAGGGAAGCTGGCTGGGCCCAGCCACAAAGTGTGACCCAGGCCCTCGCCTCGGTGGGATGTGGCTGTCCCGGAAATGGCCCAGACACATGAACACGGCCCAGGGGTCTGGAGTTTCGCTGAGAGAGGCTGGTGCTGATAGCTGGTGTCCACAGCAGTGAAGGTGAAATTCTAAATCGGACTAGCAATTTTCAGAGTTTACAATCTTGCAAAAAGTGTGTGGCTGGGAGGCTGTGTTGAAACCCTGCTGGGATCCTCTCTCCACTGCACTGGATTTTTAGCCAGGCCCAGAAATGTGGCCAGGCATGGGGGCCAGCGTGTCTCCCCCATAAAGTGTCCCCTGAGCTCTTTAAAAACTCTCACCCAACCACTCTGCCCGGCGCTGAAGGTGCAGCCCAAACACAGCTGTCCAGTGAACGCCCGCGGCCGGAATTCATTGCCATGCGGACACCATGCACCACGAGCGTGGCCGGGCCAGGCCGGGGGACTACAGAGGGACGTTGGGGAGGGGGCCAGGTGGTGTCTGCTCTGCGAGCTCGAGTGCCTGCTGTTTACGACCTGTTTAAAACTGCCAGGGGCACCAGCACTCACTCCTGCATCTCTCTGCCACCGAATTCTTCTGGGGATGTCTGGGTGCAGGGATGGGGTGTGGGTGTGGGGTGCTGTGAAGCTGTGAGGCAGGCCCAGGGCTGAGCAGCTGGTGCCCCGGGGACGAGCAGAGGGGACCCACTTCCCACCATGCCCTCTCACCGCGAGGCCCGCAGAGGCTATGCCCCAGACCCCTCTTAGGGACAAGCCCGGGGGCACTTAACCGAGAGGGTCCCCATGCTGCCCCGCCTGGGGCGGAGGTGTCTTTTTGGTGAAGTCTCTGGATGCATCTGGGTCATTCAGCCCTGAGCCAAATGCCCTCTTGGGGCAGCGTTGCTCGGTAGTCAGGCACCTCCAGGGCAGCATGCACGGCCCCTTACTCCCGGCTAACGCCCTCCAGGGTGGGGCACGGCCCCCTCCATCCCCCAGCTGGGCCTCCAAGGTCCAGGCACAAGTCTGGAGTTGGGACGGTTTCCCAGCAACCAGCCCAGCGCCATGCAGGGAGGGAGGCTGCTGCCCACCCTCCTGCCTCAGGTTCCTGCCCGCGCCAGCCCTCCCCATTGGCCCTGCTTCCTTCTGGCTCCACTCTGGTCCCTGATGGGCGGGGCAGCTGGGTAGGTCAAAGGCCACTGACAGGACGCCCTTGGACGTTCTGGGACAGGGCAGCCTGGCCACTGCAGAGGGGAGACATGGAGGAGACCCTTCCTCTCACCCAGGCCCTGAGACCTGCAGCCTTTGAGACAGAGGAAACTGGGAAACTCGAGAGACACCTTCAAAAGCTAAAGCCCCACAGCTGCTGGTCCCCGGCACCCACAGAAGCTGGGCAGTGAGAGCACGTCTCGACTGAGACTGCTTGTGTCTGGGCTGCGATTTGTGTGGATCTCAGAGAAAGGACACCTGCTCTGTAAGCTGGCCACGCGAGACACCTGCTTTCTGTAAGTGGGAAGCGAGAATGTGTCCTGCAAAGATGCAGGGCCGGCCCTGCTGTCTCTTGCGAGGAGGGGTGTGGGGTGGGCGTCCGTGGCCACCGCCGGGAGTGTCCCTCAGGGCTGACAAGGCATGACGCAGTCTGGCCACTCTGCCCTCGGGCATGTGGGGCTGGGTGGGCTGTGCAGACAGCCCCTGCGCAGTGTGACTCACTCCAGTGCTGCACGGCGGTGTCCGGAAACCAGGACGCCCAGTGGCGAGTTTAGGGTCTGAACTGATCTCGGAAGGAGAAGGTGTGAGAGGTTCCAGTGGTCTCAGGGCCACTGTCGTTCATAGATCGTGTCCTCAAACGGAACCGGACAACCGGAATGGACAATGGAACCGTCCCTTCAAATCCCGAAGCCTCTGCTTGGTGGCTGCTGTCGCAGGGGCTGAGGCCTGTTGCCGCCTGGCGCCACCCCAAAGGCCCCCCGCAGAGTCTCTGCCTGGCCCTGCAGGGCGAGTTCTTTCTGCTGGAACTCGAGTTTCCAGCCTCTCCCCCAACCCCCTCCAAGTGCAACAGGGCGGGGCCCCCGCTGTCCAGGACTTGCCCCCTCAAAGCCCAGCAATGTCAGATGCAGCGGAGGACTCTCCAGGGCTTCTCGCCCCGATGCCTGGCAAATGGTCCCCGTGTAGTGCTGGTGAGCGGGCGTGAACAGGGGTCGCTGGGCTGCAGCCCCAGGCCAGATCCTGTTCTGTCACGGCTGGGTCTGCGCAGGGCAGGGACGCTCCTTTGGAACCCTGCCCGGGCTAGTCAGG